CCTGAAATAAGCACATCTGGGTGAGTTTAAGCATCATTAAATCTCACACCCAGGACATCCTGTGCAGAGGAAAAGCCAGAGTGAATCAGGAGCTGCAGCTGGGGAGGCTCAGGCATTTCAGAGCCATGCACCTGAAATGCAGCGAGCAGAGCAATGCCAACACTGTGCAGTGCAGCTGAAAGGAGATCAGGTTACTCTGGAACCACGGGAATCAATCAGCCTTAATTAACTGTGAGCTCTGGAGGCAGGAGGTGATTTCCAGCAGAGCCAGCTTTGCCAACAGGACACTGAAATGCTTCAGAACCTCAGGCACCACGAGGCCAGGCTGGCTGCTTCATTTCCTTCTCATTTCTGCTGCCTCCAAATAACTGTACTCTGTTATTACTTCTGAATGTGACTTTTAAATCACCTGCAATTCAAGTTCTAGCTCCCCTAACACCCCTACTAAAATTATCTCAGGTTAAGATGCAGGCATCTCAAACTCTTTTAGGTGAGGAACCTAAAACCTTCTCTGTTCTGATGTCAGGAATCTCAAACTGTTTTTGGTGAGGAGCCTAAAACCTTCTCTATTCTGACATCAGGCATCTCAAACTCTTTTAGGTGAGGAACCTAAAACCTTCTCTGTTCTGACATCAGGCATCTCAAACTGTTTTTGGTGAGGAACATAAACCTTCTCTGTTCTGATGTCAGGAATCTCAAACTGTTTTTAGTGAGGAACCTAAAACCTTCTCTGTTCTGACGTCAGGCATCTCAAACTCTTTTAGGTGAGGAACCCTAAAATCTTCTTTCTTCTGGCATGGAGAGAGATAATTTCTCCTTGACAGGCAGCTGTAGGAACATGGACAATCACCACATTCCAGTCTGAAGGGTGTTTAAAGTGGAACACAGCAATATTTAGGGATAATCTCATCTCCTAACAGGACAGGGACAGATTTTTGAAGGAATTGTCAATGGAAGTGTGTATTTTTTGCTGTTCACTGCAATTCCCCATTAGCAGACAGAACTTTTGCTGCTAATCCTGGTGTGATGCAGGAATTTTTCTTGATGGGAAGGGATCCATCCAGGGAACCTGTAATGAGTCAGTGGTGCTTGACACTGGGCACAATCTGCTGTGCTCAAAGCCACTCTCAGTCACACTAAAGCAAATCCATTTAATTCCAGAGTCTCTTCAGCAGAGCAGCAAATGCACACATGGCCCTGAAATAAATCCTTCCCCAGAAATGCACTGGACAGCTCAAACTGGCAGCTGCAACCCAAGAGCAACTGCAGGATGTGAGAGCAAATAAATGGTGTCTAACAGGTTTTCAGCAGACAAAACGAGAATTCTGCCTCTCACAACAGCAAAACTTTTTCAGGTTTGCTGTGATTTTATATCAAATATCACATTTCAGCCACCATCCCCAGCAGCTCTGCAGGCAGCCACAGGAGCAGCAGTGTGGGTTTGTCCTGAATATTCCCTTATCAGAAGAGCTTGGTTTTTAATTTGATTTCACAGCAGCTCTCTTGGTGTAGAAAACCAAGCCAAACCCAAATAATTGCCCCCTAGGTCTGTGGGCACTTTCAAACTCCAAATTCAGCTTTACTGGCTCAGTCTCTGTGGGTGAGGCAGAGCTGCTGACAGTGAAGGATAATCTGAATTCCAGGATGAGTTTTATTTCAGTTCTTAGACACAAGGAGGACAGGACTCATTTCCAGCAAGTTCTCTCAGAACTCAAATCCCCTGTAGGGACCTGCTATGAGGAACAGCAGCATTCCCCAGGAAATATTCCAGGGTTAACCTGTGCCACAGACACAATTCAGCTGTCACAAGCAAAAACCTTTGGCTGACTCCTACTTTTCATTTCATTTTGCACAAGACAGAATGCAGCAAGTCTGACAGGAGAGGGGGAACTGCAGAACCAGCCTGACATACCTGCTCCTCTGTCATTGACTCTTCAACCCCTTCCTCTTCAACCACAAAACTCTCCTTCAGCTTCAGGTACTCTTCATATTCTCTCTTCTCCTCCTCTTCCTTTGCCTTCCTTTTTTCCTCTTCCTGGGCAGAAAAGACGACAAGTGGTCAAGTTTGCTTTTTCCCAAATCAGGGTTGAAGTGAAGCAGCATCTTCCTTCTCTGCAGCCAGCACACAGAAAGTTTTAAAAATGAGTTTAAGCCGTCCCTTGATGGCATAACCAATTTCAAAAGCCACTCTTGAGGCAGTGACCACCTCACAGCCAGGGCTGGTTTTCAGCAGAGCTGACAGAAAACCTCTTAAATAGCAACCTGCCTGCTTCATTTGCATCCATCTGCTCTGCTCACAGGAAGTCCCTGCCCCTCCCTGCTCTCTGATGCAATATTCACATTTTTGGTCGAAGCA